TCTCAATTTTGGTGGTGTGCGTGGATATTACGGGAGAATTAGGAAAATAAATTGGTACATGCTGGGACTTGGCCGTGAGGAATAGAGAGCTGGGAGGGATTGAAGAATTTTTCTTCTGCTGAACAGAAATCTGGCCGTGAAACACTTTGAATAAGGAGTTTGATTTATTTGTTTTCTTTATTTTATTTTGATTGAAGAACATGGATTATTATTATTGTTTTGATCATTTAGCTATGAGCTAAACGTTTATTTCGGTTCTAGGGACGTTGAATCCTCGGTGACGATGTTTGATAAATGCAATTTTATTTTGTTTTACTTGTCGTATAAAATTGATTGTGTTATTCTAGTTTCATGTCATAATATGTGTTCTTTAATTTAGCTTGATCACCTAAGTTGATGATTGCATGTTAATTGCTAGATTAAGGCTTCGATCCGTGTAATTGTCGTAGTTCTTATTTCGCTTGTAGCAGCTAACAGTCGTGCATTGTTAGGGATAACACAACATAAGTTACATGAACCGAGCTTGTCTGTTTGTGACTTAGATCGGCCTATTTTCCTAGATTCTAATGCAACTAGTGGATTAAATTAGGAGAGCTTATTCCAAGTTGTTCGCTAGTTAGAATTAATTGAAGAGCCTATTTCGATTAAGTATAATTAAGGGAGAATTCGGGTAGCAGAGCTTATTGCTATCTAGGACCGGTAGTTTTAGAAGACGAGTGAAACTTAATAAATGCATTAATTGGACTAGTTATTCGAGGGTGTAAACCGACCTAGGACCGATTCCATTCTCATATTTGCTAGATTAATTATTTATTTTCAATTTCATCATCTTTGCATTTTAATCATTGATCTCTAGTTTTAGTTTAATTATAGTTTTGCTAGTAGTTTCGTGTTAAATCAAATCCCCCCATTTTTTCTAATAATCTAATTAATATAATAAAATCACGGTTTATACCACACTCCCTGCGGGATCGACCCTTGCTCATCACTACTACTTGTTGGTAGGGGTAAGTCGAGGAAAATTTTATAAATATAAATTTGCCGCGTTGCGACGCGCGGTCAAACTCTCAAAATATGAATGAACACAAAGAACACAATACTATTTCACTTCATGGGATAGATGTTCTAACACATCTCCAATGTGTTCAATGCATCAAAGAAACCTTTTGGGACGTGCGCAGTCGACCAAAACTGAGTAAAAACCTCTTCAGACTGAACAAGTGTGTTAGCATCGCGGGCTAGTCACGCCCACGAGGACCTGTCGCGTCCTAACGCAGCATATAGCGAGTTGTCACGCCCGCGACTAGGTCTGGCGCACAACTGCGCGCCGGGAGCTCGTACGCGCTCGCTTGGACTTGAAATTTAGTTTCATTTTTCCTACATGTCCTCAACGAGCCCATCAACAATTCTAGCACACCTACTGCATGATTATGACTCGTTTAGTTTGTCCAGGCATTTGTCAAAATAGAATGTTTGTGAACCTTACAACCTTTGAATTATTTAAACTCAATT